AGTTGGAGACAATCATCTGAAAGATTTTTTTTTGCTTTGTTTTCTGATCTAATAGTTACAGAATAGTAGGAAGTAAATATCAGAACAAATTAGTAAAAAGACAGTAATTATACATCATCTTTGTCATCACTTTTCTGCTGCTTTTGTTATGTTTGTTTATTTGTTTTGTTTTTTAGATTCCACATGTAAGTGAAATCATACAGTATTTGTCATTCTCTGACTTATTTCACTTACTATAATACCCTCTAGGTTCATCTGGCTTACCACAAATGGCAATATGTCATTCTTTTTATGGCTGAATAATATTCCATTGTATATACATACCACATCTTTTTTATCCATTCATCTATTGATGGACATGTTGCTTTCTTCCATATCATGGCTGTTCTAAATAATACTGCAATAAACATAGTGGTGTATGTATCTTTTTGAATTAGTGTTTTTTGTTTTCTTTGAGTAATATCCAGGAGTGAAATTGCTGGATCATATGGTAGTTCTATTTTTAATTTTTTCAGGAATCTCTGTACTGTTTTCCATACTTGTCTCACCAAATTACATGACCACCAACAGTGCACTAGGGTTCCCTTTTCTCCACATCCTCACCAACACTTGTTATTTGTTGTCTTTATGATAATAGCCATTGTGACAGGTGTGAGGTGATTTCTCATTTTGATTTACATTTCACTGACGGTTAGTGATGATGAGCATAGTTTCATGAGTCTGTTGGCCAACTGTATGTCATCTTAGGAAAACTTTCTATTCAGATCCTTTGCCATTTTATAATCAGGTTTTTCTTTCTGATGTACAGTTGTATAAGTTATTTCTATATTTTAAATACTAGTCCCTTATCCAATATATTATTTGCAAATATCTTCTCCTATTCAGTAGATAGCCTTTTCATTTTTTGATAGTTTTTTTTACTCTGTGCAAAAGCTTTTTAGCTTGTCATTCCATTTTTTAATTTTTGCTTTTTTTCCTTGCCTGAAGAGACATACAAAAAATATTACTAAAACTGATGTCAAAGAGTGGACTACCTGTTTTCTTCTGGAAGGTTTATGGTTTTAGGTCTTACATTTAAGTCTTTAATCCATTTTGAATTTGTATGTGTGTGTAGTGTAAGAGGTGGGTCCACTTTGATTATTTTGCATATAGCTGTCCAGTTTTCCCAACATTACTCTCTTTTCCCCATTGTATATTTTTGCCTTCTTTGTCATAGATTAATTGCTCATATAAGTGTGGTTTCATTCCTGGGCTCTCTGTTCTGTTCTAATGATCCATGTGGCATTTTTGTGCCAGTACCATACTGTTTTGATATAGCTTTATAATATAGTTTAAAATCAGGGAGCATGGTATCTCCAGTTTTATTCTTCTTTCTCAAGATTGTTTTGTCTATTCAAGGTCTCTGTGTTTCCATACAAGTTTGAGAATTATTTATCCTAGTTCTGTGAAAAATGCATTGAATCTGTAGATTGACTTTGGTAGTATGGTGATTTTAATATTATTACTTCTTCTAATCGGTGAACATAGTGTAAGTTTCCATCTGTTTGTGTCATTCAATTTCTTTCAACACTTTCTGATAGTTTTCAGCATACAGGTCTTTTACTTCCTTATATTTATTCCTAGGTATTTTATTCTTTTTGATGCAATTGTCAGTGGGCTTCTTCTCTTAGTTTCTCTTTCTGATAGTTTGTTGTTAATGAATAGAAATTCAACAATTTTTGTATACTGCAACTTTACCAAATTCAGTGATGAGCTCTGATAGTTTTCTGGTGGCATCTTTTGGATTTTCTATGTATAGTGTCATGTCATCTACAACCAGTGACAGTTTTATAACTAGAGGGAGGACTCTAAAATGGTGCACACCAGCACCAGTGTTCACATGGTAGAACAAGCTCCCAAAAATGGCTGAGTGGGTGCCTATGTTCCCAGGGTGAGCTCCAGTTGCCTTCTGCCTCTCTAGGGGGCTCTCCAAGAGCAGCAGGTGCGTCAGACCCAGGCTTTTTTCAAATTACTGTTTCTTTCCTGGGCCCCAGAACATGTGAGAGTTTCTGTGTGCCCTTTAAGAGTGAGTCTCTGTTTCCCACAGCCCTCTAGCTCTCCCAAATGTTAAGCCCTGCTCCATTATAAGGATAATGATTTTAACCTTTTTTCTTTGGTTTTATTTGTTTTTACTTATTTTTCCACAATGAAAATAACTTGCTTTCATAATAATAGTAATGACAATAATAATGTTATTATGTACTTTTAACATATAGGCCATGCTTGGCTTTTAAAGTTAAGATTTTGGTACCAAAATTGGGCAATAATACTACCTTAAACAGAAGTCTGTCTTATTAAGGCTTTCTGACTGGAGGTGCTACATTTTTAACATGAATCAATTTAACCTAAATATCTCATATATATTTTAAAAGGTCTGAAAGAGAAATACCTTTCTAAGCATGCCTACACAGTTCACTGCAAAAATCTTAAAATAGCTTTTACCCATTAAAATCTTAAGAGGATTACACAAACTAAATTAGTGCCTGGATTGCAAAAAGCCATAATGAACTTAATATTATTGCTTTCCAAAATATAGACCAGTTCTTAATAGACTATTTTACAATAGGAAGTGCCTTTAGGGGTCAGTATAACAAAATTAAGATCAGTTTATAAAGCCTTACAAAAGGCCTGATGGTGGCATAAAAGTGTCCAGTGTAATTATGTGTAAGTTCGTTTGCTAACACACCATTTTCCTTCCCAGGCTGGGTCTGTAATGAAGTGGACTGACAGATCCTTGACCTTTCTTCCAGAAATTGCATTTGTATGGTGCTACTTTCCTCATATAGAAGGGCTGCTTAAATTGATCTTAGTCAAAGTTGAATTAAAGGTGGTTGGAGCTGAGATGTGAGACTGGTTGTCGAAGGGGTTCTTCAGTGGTTTGATCTGATGTTAGTTATTGAGGCAAATGTAAAGATAGTCATCATGCTCTCAGCTCCAATGGGCAGGTGGTCCCTCAGTGGCTTCTTCTTCTTATTGTTAGTCTTCTCTCCACAGTCCAGACTGAGACCCCTGCTACCCAATGTGGAGCCTGCCAGACCATCTCCTCACATCTTTAGGAGCTTGATTTCAGGTTGGTCTCTCTTCTCAGATCCAGAATCCTCCCCACCTTCCCCTGGTTTAAGCAGACGCTACTTTTATCACTTGGCATGGCCTTCTCTAGTCTAGTGCAGAGACTGGTTGCACAATTTTAAGCATCTAAGGGCATATATGTAGCAACAAAAATTTGAAATTAAGATGACATTGAGATTTAATAATTTGGTCCTTTAGAAAAATACCTTAGTTGTTTTTTTTCTACAGTAATTTTTATTAAAGACAATGAACTCCCTCTTGAGTGCTTTGTTTTTAAAAATAAGCCATATTACAATGCATCAGAATGACTTGTATCAATAAATCTAATGTTTAGAGTTAAATATAAAGTAGTTATGAAAATGCATGTTATATGCTGAGTTTCATATTTGTAAACAAAAAAATATTGAGGCTGTCTGGGTAGTTCTGCATTCATTGTCACAGCAGGGCTCACCAAGATTTGGAATTGATTTCTAGTTAAGACTTTCTAAGAGAAAGCCTAAAAGAATACAATAGAATATTACTCAGCCATAAAAAAGAATAAAATAGTGCAGCAACATGGATGGACCTAGAGATCGTCATTCTAAACCAGAAAGAGAAAGAAAAATACCATATGATATCATTCATATATGGAACCTAAAAAAAAAGGAAAAGAGAGGACACTAATGAACTCATCTGCAAAACAGGAACAGACTCCAGACATAGTAAACAATCTTATGGTTACTGGCAGAGAGAGGCTGGAAAGGGATAAATTCTGGAGTTTCAGATTTGCAAATGTTAGCCACTATATATAAAAATAGATTAAAAAACAAATTTCTTCTGTATAGCACAGGGAACTATATTCAATATCTTGTAATAACCTTCAAAGAAAAAGAATATGAAAACAAATATATGTATGTATATGCATGACTGGGACATTGTGCTGTACATGAGAAATTGACACATTGTAACTGACTGTACATCAATTAACAAAAAAAGAAAGCTTGTTTCTAAAGTAGAATAAGCAAGGCCTGTGATTTGTGGGGAAACTACTGGAAGAATTGACTTGATTGATTGAAGGTCTGAGGAGGTGTTGAGGTTATTGATCAAAATCATTATCAGCTTTCAATATTAAACCTCTTTCCTCTTTTCTGCTGGTTTTTGAAGTGAAGGTAGGTCTTAGGATCTACCTATTGATATGCTTAGGCAGAGGAAACAATCACTTTATTTTTTAACTGTATCCAGCTTTATTAAAGATACTTTTCATAAACATGGTATTTCAGGCAGGACATGGGCAGACAATCATTAACAGTATACAACAACTTTCAAACTCCCTTTTTCAATGGACTACCAAAATCAGAAAGCCACTATAAAACCCAATGAAGTCTTCATGTGATGCTCTGAACAGGGAAAGTTTAGAGTGCGGGTTGACATTTCACATTTAGCATGTTGTTTAACAACTTTTCACAAGCCGACCCTGACTTTCAGGAAATGAAATGAAAATGGCAGAATTATCAATCTGAAGATCCACAATCTAAAAAAGGAACTGCTGCTTTTTTGAAGGATGCCATCTCAATGGTGACACTATAAGTCCAGATTGCCCGACATTACTGGTAACCAATTTTTGGTGTCCAGTCCCAACAGGTCTCTGGGTTTAAGGGAGTCAAGTCTATGCTGAAGGAGAGGGAGAAGAGGACATAAAAACTAATTTTAGTTTTTCCACACAATAAGGCGTATGTGCCAAGATGGCTAATGTGTGTCAACATCAAGGAATCCTTCCTTCCTGGGAACCAAGAGGAAGTCTCTCAAAACTAGACAGGAGAGCTGTTTTTCCCCCAGCGATCCAGCTTTGGAGACATTCTATTAGCGACAAATGCCCTTCTCCAAAAAATAACAATAAAGTGTTCTGTGTGTCAACAACATAGCTTAAAAAAAAAAAAGTAGAACAAAATTCTGCATTTTTATAAAACTTGATAAAAAATAGTATTTCAAACTGTACAGTCACCAGAAGTACACAGTTATCAAAAATGCACACTTCACTTGGCATCTCCAGCACCTTCAGCTTTCTGTGCCTGGTCTGTTTTGGCATCTCCATTTTCTGCAGGATTATTCCCATCCTTGTCAGCATCAGCTTTCCCCTTTTTCCCTTTGGGTACCTTCTCTCCCTTCTTTGCAGGGGCCTTTTTAGGCTTGGGCTCTGGCTTTGGAGGAGCAGTTTTAGCAGATAACCTTGCCGATCTTCTCTGTGGTTCATCCTTCACCTTGGCTTTATCTACTTTAGCATCCCCTTCA